CTGGGATGAGGACCAGCATAGGTTATACGCCCAAATCAAGGCAGGAGCTTATGATGTAAGTCACCCAGGATTGAGAGGCAGGGTTGGAGGAGCCTGCTGGTGGGGGCACATGAGTTGTGGTTGCCCCCTCTTTGTGTGTGTTTAAATTTATGTCAGTTTTGGAGAGAGAGAGAAAATTTGGTTCATTTAGGGGGTTGTCTGTTTAGAGAGAACCAGATTGGTAAGTAGAGAGAAGCTAGATAAATAGGTAGGTAGGAAGACAGATAGATAGTTTTGCAGTTTATATTTATTCATGACTTGTTTATATATGCATTGGCATATGTCCCATGTTTGATTGATTTTCATTTTGTATAATGATTCTAGGTGATTCTTATTTTGTAATAATATTTGTGTTATGAACAGAGAATTGTGATAACAGTAACCATTTGCTAAAGAAACAAGTATTATAGTGTATCAGATTTGTTTAATTATCTCATTTCTTTTCCTACCTTTTTTTTATTTGTTTATCTAATCTCATTGTATCATCACAAGATCACAGAAACTAATAATATATTGCTGTTTCCAGTATCCATCACCAGAATGGGACACTGTAACTCCAGAAGCCAAAAATCTTATCAACTCAATGTTGACTGTTAATCCAGCCAAGCGTATTACTGCTGCTGAAGCACTCAAGCACCCATGGATCTGCGTATGTTGTTCAAACATGTTTCCTATTAACTGCCTTTGTTTATTGCAGCTGTTATAAGGAGCATTCTGTTATTTCCATTCATAAAAAAGGATATGAAGATAAATTTGAATCATAAGGAATGACAGTTGTGTCTTGAGATAATTAATTGTTGACATATATAGAAAGAGTATCCACAAAGAAGATCAAAGTGCTACAAATCTATATAATGAAAATTTCCGATTTCTCCTCCTAGCAACGTGAGCGTGTAGCCAGTGTGGTGCACAGGCAAGAGACTGTCGACTGCTTGAGAAAATTCAATGCCAGAAGAAAGCTAAAGGTAAGACCACTTAGATATATATATATATATATTGCTCTTGGAACAGAATATCATGACACGCTCTCACAAGTGTATCATTGTAGGCTAAGAGTATTAACTCTGTGTTTAAGAATGTAATGTAATTTTCATATTAAAGAAATTGAATAATAGAGATAATGTTAAATGCAAGATACTGAATTACTTATAATTTACACCAAAAAAGAAGAAAGAAGAAAGGAGATCTAGATATTTGGCTTCTAGATGGATATGATGTACACAATATCTTATAGGTATCGCAGAGAGAACCTTAATATTCATAGTTTAACTCCATTGTGTAAATTCTCTATATTTTTTTATATAAATGTCAAATACTAATAATCAGTTTTTAAAAAGTGGGTTATCTGGATTTAATGCTACAGAGTATCTTTTTTCTTTAATTGATATATGTATGTATTCATCAGTGGAGCAGCAGTATCAGTGCTAAGAAGAAATAACTCCTTTGAGAGTTAGTGATGAAATGGCTTGTAATGTAGAGAAAGTAGGCTAGATATTAGACATCAGTGTGAAGGAATAAGGAAAGCATCATGGAATACAGTTTAGAATACCAAATACTGATAATGAATGAGGGGAAGTAATGGGTACCTTTTGAAGAAGGGTTTTCAGTCTTCTCAACAGTTTCCCTGAAAAGGAAATTCAGACTGTAAAATTAAGTCACTTAAGTAAAATCAAGATATTTGTTTGTAATCTTGATGAACCAGTTTTTAAATATTTTTTTTTAGAAAAGCAGGATTTGTTGTCAATTTTGATAAGGTAATTAAGACACAGTAAGATCAAAAGAAAACTGAGAAAATATTTTTTGGCAGTTAATTTACTTTGTTAGGAGTTTAATAGAAGGGCATTAATGTAAATAAATTCTTCATTTGATGTAGGAAAACCAAAAATTTTAACCAGTGACACCTGTATGGAATAGATAAGTGTTTTCAACTGGAAGTAAAGATATTTTATACCAATAACTAAATAGTGTGAATGAATGTTGACCATGGTGACTGAATGAAAAAAAATGATGCTTAAGCTGCTCTGCATGACCCAGAAATCAGGATGCCATTCAGTAGTTTCCTGCAAAAGCTCCAACTCATTGGCAAGTTAGCAATAAGACCCACATAACCCATTCATCTAAAGAAATTAAATTTTTTTCTACCATAAAGCGGGACTTTTTGGTGAAATTCCGCAAACTAGAAAGCTTAGTGTTTTTGGTTATTTTCAGTCGTTATTGCATAGGATAGCGCAGAGAGATGTGGACTGATTTTTGTTTAATGATCAAGTATATCATTTGATATTATAGGTGGCTTGAATGCTGAAGGATTCATTGTATACTAGAGAAATGACCATATGATTTCTTTGCTGCTACAACTTCCAAATGACTACTATCTTGATATGACTTCAGCAAAGATGAGAAATAATACCCCTTTGAACCTCCTTTATACATAGCACAATAAGCTTATTCATGGCCTGTTGAAAGCTCCTCTCTGTAGAGTAAAGTGAAAGCAGTCTCAACACACAGACTTTAACACATAAATCAGATAAAGTAGTTTTCTGGGACACAGAAGTGATAACTATAATAAAGGCATTCCAGAGGATGTAAGATTGACACAGTATGCACTTTTAAAGTGTGAAAACCATCATATGATGATTTGCTGTTGTTAACCATCCATCATTTTAAATGTATCATTAATGATCACAAGCAAATAGAGTAATCAAGCTTTGGGAGAAAAAACTACTTTCTGTTTAGTAGAGAGCCATCTTTCCAACATAACTGATGATTCATTCAATATTGTAAATTATAGTAACCACCAGTAATATATGTAATAGATTTCATATGACATTAATCAATTTTAAAAATTGATATGTAATTATTTGAATAGGACTGCCTGACAGTTGATGGAAAATGGACTTGGGAATGAGGAAGCTAAAATGTTTATCAAAGAAAAGTTCCATTTTTAGGCAAGCAGAATAAATTACATTGTTTATCAATGTTTATCACCATTGCCTTTTACACAAGCATTATGAGTGACTTTCAAACTCTTTAAAGACCGCTGTTCTTTTCATTTAATAAGTCATGAAAGGTAAACAGGGCAAGGTTGTAATAAGGGGTAACTTATTGTCCAAGTCAAAAGGAAAATATTTTATAATTTTTTGTTTCATCTTTTTAATATAAGCTGAATTCAAGATTGAGAAATAAACTAGTTGCAGTGTCCCAACAAGAAATTCAGTTGTGTAATATAATTGAAAAGAATACCCAGTATACATTGCTAGATATTAGATAATATCTGGAGAACAGCAGTCATAGAAAATAACTGTAAGACAGTGTAATTTGCTGAAGTTAACTACATTTCTACTCAGTGTTAAAGAGAGACAGTCTTGTTTAGTCATTGATTTAAAGGAGGTTGTTAGCAAATGCTATTTTAGTTAACAGAAAGGAGAAGAGTTTGCTGAATGGGTGTGAACCCAAGAAAAAAACAATATTTTAAAAATCAGTGGCATGATATTGTGTCTCGGGAGAAATGGCATATAAAAGTACCTTAAACACTTAATTAAAAATTCATGATCTAAAGTTTTTATAACAAATTTTGTGACAGTCTTACAGGTAAGCAGCTATGTTCAAGAAAAAATCTGTGAGAGCCAGTTATCTATTGGTTATATCCTGGAGTTACATGCTCAGGAAATAACATAGAACTTAGAGAAAGTACTTAAAATAACAGTTGTGTAACTCCTCAGGATATAACAAATTGTTTCACCAAAAACTCAGAAACCAGAAGAAAAAGAATCTGAAAAACAATAGCCTCAATGGGTCGTACTCTGCCTATCTCTCCCTTCCCCAAGTTGTTCTTCTCCTTTGTCTGTGCTTACCTTGGCTGTGTAACTGTGGTTCATGATCTGGTGTGGCCTCATTGCAGGGCGCCATCCTGACGACCATGCTTGCCACTGCGTGCAACTTCTCTAGTAAGTCTGTGGGAATGCTTGTATCAGATTTTCCGAGTTTGTATCTTTTTATTAACATTATTCCAGTTTTCCTCTTTCCTTAACTTTGTTCCATGATATTTTCATGCCCATCTTCACCTTTTTCATATTCTGGGTTTACAGGCTGCTGCTGGATCTGCGCTTATGTAGTCATCTGTTTGATTTTATCAAGATTAAACAGATGAGACCAATGTAATATCAAACCTGCATATCTTTAGCTTGGTTTTGTAGGGTTTGTTCTGATTGTGATATACAGGTTTGATATTTAACATTGGCTTGTCCTGTATTTTATTTTGTTCCATATCACGGTTTGTCTTTTACCTTTACTACTTTTTTAACACGTGTGATGCTTATTTTGTTTCGACTGACCACTTCTGCTCCATCTGCGATCTTGGGTACTTGGTCTCCAGCCAACATTCTCCACACCTACATCCTTGTCCATAACCCCAAACCGTATTGCCTCAAACAATAAACTTATTGATTGGTCTTCACCCTAACCTGCTCTAAGGCTTTCGATTTAATTCCCTTGAGCTCCTTGCTGTCCGGCCCTCTTCCTCCTAATGTCACCTTGTATCATTTCATTTTCTCTGAACAACCCTATTTCCTGCCAGCTCTTTCTCCATTCCTACCCTGTGCTATCCTCCTCCTGTCAAACCCTTACCGTTGGTTGCCGTGTTGCAGGGTGCGATCCTGACGACAATGCTGGCGACTCGCAACTTCTCCAGTAAGTACGAAGCACAGGGTAAGTGGGCATCCCCTCTAGGCGGCAGTGGAACCCTAACCTCCCCGCTGACTGACTCCTTGTACCCCAGTTTAAGACTCCCCTCAATCAAGTCATTGCAATGCCATATGTTCAAGTTGTGGAATCATCATGCTGAGAGGAAATGGCATAGCTTTGAGTTGGGACTGGAACGAGCACTTGTAATCTAGAGTGTCCTATTGTATGCTGCTCACATTCACATGCTGGAGCACATTTCTTTTTCAGTATACAGAAGTGGG